TAAATGTGAGGCTGCATGCATTTTTTTTTTTTTTCTTCATATTTTTATAAATAAAACATCGAAAAATAGAAAGGCGCTCTCGTAGAGACCGCGCGGCTGACCGCAACTCGGGCAGCATCCACTGATTTCCAAAATTCCCGGTCGCTCCTTCGCTTGTCTCGATTTTAAAAATACCAGAGCCCAACTCGCAAGCTCGGAATACCTATACGAACTCGTGTATACGAAAACGAAAGCTCGAGCCGAGCGCCGTTATGCACCAGCGGAGAGGAAAAAGCACCCACAGTGTACAACAATAACGCTCGGGAAAGACGAAGTGGCGAAAAAATGGAGCGGATGTTCGATCATGAGAGAGAGGGAGAGGGAGGGAGTGTGCAAAGCTATATACATATTATGTACGCGCGCATTGTGTCGCGCGCGCGAGGCGTGTGCACGCAAGCAGCGGCACCAAGTAATGGGTATTACAAAGAGACAGCAGTCGCGCTGGCTAAACATCTAAACAAGCGCGGCCGGCCGTACCTATGTATATTGTATATATAGGTGTATATACGTATATATATTATTCATACCACTGTACACCAACCAACACAACAACAACCGCCCCGGCCATTGTAATTTAGTTCAAGGCCGCGAGATCCTCCCGCGCCTCCTCCTACTTATGTTGCTCCCTCTCCGTGTGTGTGTGTGTTGTCTACCTATAATATATATATATATACCTACACGCAACAACTCCTCTTCAGCAACATCGGTATTCGTTTATTATTGTCTTCGAGCGTGTGTGTTGCTAATACCGTGTAGAGCTTTGCCTTCCTATTCTCTTTTTTTTTAATGGTCGCGAATCTGTTCCTCTCATTGGGTCGTTGGCTTTGTTTTCGGCGCAGGTACACACTGGCATTTTGTTCATATCTAGGGCAATGCGTTTTTATACATGGACAATATTACATGGATATAGTGGTCATCAAAATGATAGAAATAGGGAAACAACATACGATGGCTCGCCAATACCTACCTCTCCGTTGGAGGACTAAAAATAGCCGCAATGTAACGCGCCCGTGTGACATCAATTGGTGGTAACGAAAAAGAAGAAAGAGCCGTCGCGTGTCCCACGCCTATATACATCACGAGTCGCGCGTCTCGGGCGTCCACGCGGCATGTCAAGAAAAGCGCAATGCATAAAATAATAGTATATACCAAGGCTGCTCCCATAGACGAACAGAGTCGCCTATGCATCGTAATAATAGTAAGTAAGTGCATGGGTGTGCTTTTTTGAACGTGAGAAAAGAAAGATTAGTTCACCGCGAGTATACCTACAAGTACGGAAAAGGGAGGGAGTCGCGTGTAATAATCTCCGATGGTGAGTCACTTTCATTAGACATACGCTAATGTCCATACGGTACTTGCCGCACGCACGGTATTTATAGGCGGAATCGCGCGGCACTGGACGCAACGTCCTTCCCGCCTTCCATAGATTTTTTTTTCTTCTCAAGCCATTTATTACGCACGCCATTTTTTTTTTTTTTTCTTCTCCTGTTCTCTTTTACGCGAGTTTTCTCACACATTTGCAAGTATACCTGTAGGGCTATTTCACTTGACAAAAGATGAACGCATCATCATCATCAAGACTCGTATAAGTGGGTGTTGTATACGGGACTCTTTTGTGGAATCGTTGATTTTCCGATGGAGTCAACAAATGGGGTGTACCATACACGTGTGATTTTTCTCTCACTATTCTCGCGTTAGAACCAAGACCCATCGGCCTTGACTCGAGCTGAATTAATATTAATTTTCGCCGGCGCGTGCCGCCGCCGGTGATTTTCATTGCCGCCGACCGTACCTTGATGCTAATTTGTACGTAGCAGTCGGTATGTACAACGTACACATTTACGCGGCGTTAGGGCATTTTAGACTCAATATACTGGTATAAAATTCATAAAATACAGTTGCCGTAATACATGTAAATAGATCAGGGGGAGGAGGAGGGTGGAAGGGGGGAGCGATGACAAATAGCGTGTCCCGCAATCTGATCAACTGTTAACAAATTGCTCAGGGTAGCAGTGTTTACGAAGCTGGCAGTGATCGTATAAATATATAGTCGAACGGCGAAAAAAAAAAAAAAAAAAAAAATTTAGATCGATTGATCGGGCGTTCATTAATACCAGTCGATCGTTCAAGGGACGATCGCGTGTCCCTTGTATATATAGCCTTGGGAGTCTGTCGAAGCGGTGTGTCGGTGGAACATCCGAGGAATGCCGACGTAGCCGGTCCAGAAGGGAGAAAGGGAGAGGCGTATTCTCTTGTTGGAGCCTCTTCTGCGATGCTGTACGTTATATGGGCAATCTCGTTTTTACCGTTACCCGCTTCGGCGAGGAAGAAAAAAAAAAAAAAATTCTCGCCGCTCTTTGTCAATTCGCTTCGGACGTTTTTTTTCTCTTTCTCTGGCTGTACGCGTGTGGCGTTTCAAGGCCCCCCGAGACCGGTGGTCGCGCTCGGCTGCTCATAGTCGCGAAAACTAGAAAAATCGGCATTCCGTCGATTGTTTTCTCGACGCTGCAGGTGCGAGTGGTGCAATGGGAACCTTGACTTTGGAGGCAAGTGATTCACGATCAAGAGCAGCCTCGAGGACGCTCTCTCTCTCGTGTCTTTTTTTGCCTCGATTGCACAAGCGCTCGAAAATCGGCATTGTCGGCTTTGTGCGCCAGCTATCGGTACGGCCCCTACTTTTTTTTATCATTATCGTTATTCATACACGACAATTGCAGCGCGGATTATCATAAAAAATACCGCGGTTTGCGCAAGATCATGGTGCTCCTATACACATAACCTTTTTTTTGACGCTCGCGCGGTTTTTATCGTCGTTCCCTGAAGTGGATTTCATTCTAATCTCGGAAAAATCAGCACCGCGTGACATTTTTCTCTCTCGCGCACGGCTGCAAATGATGAAAAAAAAAAAAAAGAAAAAAAAAGGCGTCGGTGCTGTTGCACCAACCCTCCTTTCCCTCTTCGAGGATCGTTTTAATGAGTCACGCGATTAGAATTTAATACTTTCAAGTGGGATTTTTATCACAAAAAGTACCGCAGACGCGCGTATCGAGAGGAAGGGGGGGGGAAAAAGGAGGAGGAGGAGGATCATTAGATAAAATGACAAAACAAGAGGCCGCGCTTTCCAGCAGCCGCAGTCCATGCAATGAAATCACGCTCGCGCCGATTTTTCAAAATTACTTTGGCCGTGCATGCAAACTTCCATCGCGCTTCAAAGACACATACTTACACAAAAGCGAGCGAGGATACGAAAATTGCGCTACAGCGTTGATCTATACGATGCACAAGAGAACGGACGACGATCGCGGAATAATCCTCTAACGATCGTCGTCATTATACGTCTCTAGAACGTGGTATCGGAAAACCGCGCACGCACGCGTTTTTACATGTGGAATAAACATAGGCAATTATTTATTATTGTTTGATATCGCAAAAGGGAGCAAAAAAAAAAAAAAAAAAAAAAACAGATACGGGGAAAAAAGATAATTTGCGAGAGGAAGTTGTAAATGATTTCAGCCATAAAACGATCGTTACGGGGTCGGTGTGGGTTGCAAAACGGCTCTTCTTTTGGTGTTGGCGGATTTATGCAAATCGTACACGGGCTACTGTCGAATTTTCAGTACCGATCGAAAGCGCCTCGTCTAGTGTACATATATGTGTCCAACGGCGCGCAACGTCTCGCTGCTCGGGAGATAAACAAAAGAACGAACGGCCGACGCGGTGTAACAGAAGAAGCCAACCTCACCCAGAGTCCATATAGGTATATACCGTGTAGGCACGTGTAGCGCAACTATGTAGCCTTGACAATCGATCTACCGATCGGAGGAGAAAAAGAATCGAAGAAGAATAAGTATATGTATACCCACCTGCGCGCCGTTTGCGTGTATAATTCAACGCCTGTAGAGCCGAGAGAGAGAGAGATATGTCGTGCAGAAACGAGAGCTCCAGCTTCCTAGTTCCCATCGTAAAGGGAATATACACACGCAGAAACCTTCGCAGAATCGGTAGATTCGCGCTCTTCCGAGAACAGAGATGTTTGTCCGTTTTGGAGCTATAGTTTCTTTCGTGCGTACCAAAAACGCACGGGTTTCCACACATTTGGATCGCCATGTGGAATTTAGGGAATTTCTTAATCTCCAGAGAGAAAAACCGCGGTTACCGATTTTACTGAGACTGAGGAATTTTCTTAAAGTAGCCCGATCATTCATTGGGGAATAAATACCACGTCTACGCTGCTACGTTGGACTTCGAATATACCCTCCACCATATATATATATACAAAAGCAGACCACGGGGCAGGATTGATTGGAGGTCAGAGCCGCATATACCTCCAAATTACCGATCTACCTTTGGCTTTTCGTACATAAAGAGCCGACCGCTCGACGGCTTCTTCCTCTTTGACCTTGTCGCGTGGGCCTCCCCCCCCACCCCCCCCCCTGTGCCTCCGTATACCTTATTCCGCTTTTGGGGCTATTATTCGGTATCTCTCTGTGTTCTTTTTTTTCTCCTTTGTAATTTCGATTTCTTTTATTTTCTCGACAATGTTATTAATTACGACAAAGAGGTTCCGAGTGACCGTGAGACTATCATCACCATCCATCAACTTTTCGGGTTTTCGCGCGTAGCGACGTATCCTTAGTCAACTTGTGCAATGGTACACATGGTATTTGATAAACGTGTGGTTTGCGCTGGAAAAATATTATCTTCACACTCCCGCACGTGAGATATTATACCTACATTAAAAATATTTCTAGACTCATTGGATACTTGAAAAAAAAAAAAATGGGCAATCGAGTGCAACGGCCTTGTTGTATTATACATGCACCGAGCGAATGATTACGGCGCTGTATCATCTTTAATATGTACACATTTGTCATTTTTTGATCTCATTGTATGGTAAACAAGCAAATGAATAAAAAAAAAACGATTTTTTTTTCTCAACCTGTGTTTTGCGTGTGTTGCAGGGAAACAAGGAAAAGATGGCCCGGACGAGAAAAAGGACGCGGACGGCGAGCTGTGGGGCAACGTCGAGGCCCAGGCCGCTTTTCTCGGGCCCAATCTCTGGGAAAAGACATTGCCCTACGATGCCGACCTGAAGGTATTGAACCATGTATGTACACAGACGCGAGACGGTAAGCCTCGAAAGAGACGCTTGCAGAGGATGTTCTTTTCTTTTCTTTTTTTTGTAATTTGATTTTTTTTTTTTTTTAACCCTTTTTTTCCTTATTGTGTCTCTCCTACTGCTGATGCTGACGTTCTTATGTGCAAAGTAACCGGTATTCGTTTTTTTTTTCCGTGTGATATTTCACGCAATTTTTTCACTTTTTTTTTATCTCTTTTGTCTCGTTGTACACTGTATATTATACCTTAGCAGTGATTGTGTGTTTATCCGTATGTGCCAATGCAAAAGGTTCAGGTGAAATTACCTATCGAATGAAACAGTTTTTACGTTTTAACGGTGATTCGACACTTTTTTTTTTTTTTTTTTTTCGTCCGCAATTGAAAAACAAGTTGGCGTTGAGAAATTAAAACTCATATTTACGGTACTTTAATTCCAAGCGGTTAGAAAGTTGTTAACAGAAATTGAGGAAAAGTTAAACCGTATACGCATAATCATTAGAGCCGCGAGTAACATTGGTTGGCTCGCGAATCTGGATTATTTTATAAATCGAGCGATTTTGTGTATTTATTGACGACGATTAAGTCGAATAATTGAGCATACAGATTATCAATAATACCCAAATGTATACCTACCGCTTGAAAGTCTATTTTACGTTGTACACTTAATTACCGAATCACAAGTATAGATTAGAGTGAGAAATCACTGTATTTGCGAGAAAGAGCCTTTTGTTAGCGCACAGATTAATTTTTTTTTATCGGATCGAGTTGTTTGCACTTTGAATTTTCATACCAGTAAAAGTTTTACGTTTCGACTTGAGTTTTGCGTTTGTGTGTTTTACTTTGGAACTAAGTATATATTATTATTATTATTATTATTAATATTATTATTATTATTATTGTAAGGATGGACAACGTGTCATTACTTATATGCATGATGTTATCACTAGTCTTATAAACCCGTACTTCACAGAAAAAACCATACTTATAGTAACACAGAGTTTGAATTTTTTTTTTTCTTCTTTCTCTTGTGGTTTTCTTTTGGCATGATATTGAATTTTATTTATCAACCAAAAATGAATTTAAATTTAAAAAAAATGTGTATATATATATATATATATATATGTATATATA